TGTAACTGTGACGAGCCCTTGATGTCGTCTATGACGACGTCACGCGTTGTGTAAGTTGTTGTCTTGTAGCCTCTAAACGTTGAAGTAGTGAAAAATCGTTCGTGCTCTTCCTCGTGCGTTCGTTGGACTGAAAGGCGTCTGAACACTTGTTAACCGCGGGGCTCTCCCTCTCTTTCCTTTTTCTTCCTTCTAACTTCTTTGCCTACCTTCCTTCTCTGTTCCCTCCTCCTTTGCCTTCTTCCTTCAACTGCTGCGCTCAGTAGATCAGCCTATGAGAAACCGCCGGCGACCTCGCACCGATAGCACTGTGGTTTCGTCTGAAAGCAGCCTTCGGCGTATATTGTTTTGATAACAGGTTTCAGTTTCAAGCTTCGCTCCGTCTTTCAGATCAACCTCATTGCTGCTCCACATTTTGTCGTAACGACACAGACGCTTGATCGAGAACACGGGCTCACTGCTGTTAATGCAGCGCTAGATGTTGTTAAGCAGACCATAGAAAAATATGGAGGGAAATTTTCTATCCCAGAAGAGGTAGAGGTGGACAGTTCTAGATTTTCTTATCTCTTTTTTTTTTCTTTCGACGTTGCTCCATATTCTTATAGCTATCTTATTTCCAGGCTCGCGTCGTCACCGATGTTGACGATAACGATATCAAGAAGAGGCTGGAGTTGGCTGAACTGGAGGAAGAGGAAGGATCTGATGAGGATGAAGATGAAAGTGAAGAGGAAGATGACGTGAGTTTTTTTGCCCGGAGGTGGTGTTGTTCATCTGTTCCTGTTCGGATAGCCTGAGCGTAGCGATTCTTCACGCTTCAGCGAGTGTCGCTGCGATTCACGATTTCGATACTTGTGCGCACGCTTTCGGCTGCATCGATCGTGTCGAACGCGCGCGACCGAGCGCTGCCATCGCGAAGTCTGAACGCTGCCTAAGCATTTCATCTCTTCGGGTCAGGTTTGTAGTGGGAGATCGGAAACACTGGCCTGTGTAACCGGCTGGCCCAGCTAGTTTCTGTATTGTCCAGAATTCCACTACAATGCTGAGTTGAGGTAGAGTGCATGACCCTTCAAGGAAGGAGTACCTCAAGGACAGTAGTCTATTTAATCGACTTACTGACTCGTTTTGGGGAGGGTTGACGTGCGGGAAACCCCATGTTTGGCTCATGCAGCATTTTGTTCCTCTGAAGGATCCCTTCTAGCTGCACGCTCAGGAAGAAATTTAGGCGCAGTTCGGCCTGGTGGGGGAATCAACTGGTTCTCACCGACCACCTTGTAAAGACCTGTGAGTTAGTGTGACCCGGATGAGCTCACATGTACCGCTTCCCAGCTCCACGCGGATGTACAGATCTCGCCAAAGACCACTAAGTCAATCTGAAAAAGGACACGCAAAAGGAACTAAAAGCGCAATGGCCCCTCCCAAGCGGAACGGCGTCGAAACATCTTTCAGAAATGTGTTATTCGAATGCCACAGATGTAGTGAGATATTCTAGGATGGTCTGGTAGCGCCGAAAGGACTAGATCAACAAATGGACGTTGAAGATGCTCTTCAAGCAGCGAAAAAGAAGGAGAAAGAAGAAAAGAAGGAGAAGAAGAACGATAAAGGAGACAGCGGTGATGAGGAAAGCGATTGAAGTTGTTTTTGGGCGTTGTAGCCCAGATTGCCATGGCTGAGCTCGTTTTTCTCTAGATTTGTTTGTCGGTAATCTATTTCTCTTGATATTCTGTTTGTATTTGTTCAGCACTCTTTTGTTGGTTGCTTATATGACTCTATTCTTTGTTTTCGTGAATTGTTGGGGGAGCCACCTGGCCTGCCGCGCCAAGTGTGTTTCTACCAATAAGGAAATGAGCCCTAAAGACTTCGTTGTTGTTGAGTTCTATTCCACTGCGGGTTTACTGGAGTGGAAGGTTTGCGCTAAGATGTTGTTAAAACGGTGAGGTAGTTGATTAAGTATCTTACGGTTTCTTAATTATTTTCAAGAGATCACTTTCTTTCACATATGTCTTTTTGGTAATAAAAGCTGTTGGATGTGTTCTCTTAGGACAGCGTATAGGTTCGTAACCACGCCCATCGGCGTTTTACGGAACAGTTAAAAGTTCCGTTCCGGCGCAGTTAGCCGGGGAGGGGGGGGGGCATTTTGCACTTCTGCTGCTTGTCATCGTCGTGTTCATTACTTTACAAGAGTTTACAAGTAGTTTCTACAAACTTCGACTGGTATCACTTCACGGCTTCACCAGATTTCACATCTCTCTACTTAATGATTTGACACGACGATGGGAAGCAGCGAAAGAGAATAATGCCCCCTCCCCGTTCGCGGAACTGTGTCCCGCTCCCTTGTAGGAGTCAATTTTTATATTTAGTGAATGGAATGTTTTCTACATAAGATTATCCTGAACATCTAACAGATTTATTTCTCGTCACCAAGACGTTTCGCCGCCGGCGCAAAGTCGATGACGAAGGTCCGGTAGTGTCATATATTTTTTCGTGGCTAGTTAGGGCGCAACGGGGGGGGGGATGTCACCGAATACTCGACTTGATCCGCTCATGTCGTCTTTGCTCTCCTCTCCTTTGCTCGCTCTCTCAACTTAGCGGTCGTCATCTAGGGGCCACTATTGGCAGAACATTTCGGTGAAGCTCAAGCTCACTGCAGCTCGCAAGTCCTTGAAAAGACCCGCCATCTATTTGCTGTTGGAAGGCAAAACTTACACACACCGTGAATACCGGTCTACGCTGCAGTGCACCCTCTCAGTTCTAGTTGCTCTGTACAGCTGAGGGCGTGTTTCGCTTCGTTGATATCGTACTGCTCACTGAGGAGCACGCTTCGATGAGCCGAGCACCAGCAGGATCACTGCTTGAGCGGAGAAACTGCGCTTGACAGTGTTTCGACTGCGATTCACTCACCTCGGATAGCGGAACGTCCTTTGCGATTCAGCTCACTCGGATAGGAACGGCCTCGGAGGTCAGCGCCATACAATGTTGTCTCTGAAGCTATAAAGCTTTTCATTAGCAGCGTTTCTTTCGTTGTTCCCGCGTAGTTGTCATATAGTGCTAAGAACGTTGGACAACTGGGTCTCAAAAAAGGATACTGACGGGGGAGAGGTGTAAGGAGCCTTTTTCCGAAAACGTCGCACTTAATATCTTTACACTTTGCTGAAAGCAATCGGCCTGTAAAGCATCATTACAACTCCAGCCGGTCGAGTTACACTGCTGAATAAGTAAGAGAATTTGATAGCCCCGCAGCTCGTCGCGCTTTTACTCAAAGGACCTTTCAGATTATGTCACAATTCAATCAAAAACCATCAATGAATTACACTCTAAAGTATGCGTCCGCGATCAACAAGTGAAAAACCTCATTGAACAACAAAACGCGAACCGTCCGCACTCAGAAGCAGAATGCCCACTCTTGCGGCTCAAATCGATATGTCCGGTTGACAGGCGGAGTCAACACGAGTCGAGCAGCTCACGCCTCACTGTTCCATCGTTAAATCCCCCCGACTGGTTGACAGTTATCAAGTGGTTGCTGGCTTGACTATCGCTGAATTTCTAGAGCTCCGAGGCGGCGACGTGTATTGGAGAACTCACCAGAGTTTGCGAAACTCGTCCACATGCCTTAAATTTCATAGGGTCTTATTTCACGCTCTTCCACACCTTTTTCCTGCTTTTTTTGATTAGTGCTTCATTGGCCACCTGTTCTAGCAAATGTGACCCCTGAAACCTGCCAAAGTCCATCGCGGGCGCTGTCTTTCTTTTAACAGAAAACCTCCCAACCCGCTTTTTAGGTCTGGGTTAGACCTCACATGTGATCTCTACACTGTTTTGTGGGTTATGTGGCGCACCTTTGCTTCAAACGAGTGCTTCGTTTTTGGCTTCCATGCCCTCAAATCGCTAGAAGTTCTATGAGCAGTTCATTCCATGCCTTAAGACCCCTAGGTCCCATATACATTACTTGCTGCGCTTGTTTGTTTGTCCGGAAATCCGGTTCTACCTTAATTTCACATGAAGGGCAACATGGAGAGGTCGGGTCAAGATTGAGATCTATGGGATATCTAAGAAGATGTAAAGGGCACAGCTGACCTACGCTAAGCCCCGCCCGCAGTGGGCGGGGCATGCGCCGAAAGTTAGCTTTGTCGCAGGCAAAAGTTGTAAATAGTTTCGTCAATAGTGACTCAGGTTATCAATGGCTTCATTAGTGCTTACATTCCTGTCATCATTCAACCCTGATGAATTAGGACCATAATAAGTCCTAGTAGGAGAAAATTCGAACATGATGTTTTCAAAAACTCGTAAGAAGACTCGAATATGCAAAAAGGTCAGAAAGAGCCCCTGCTGTGTCTAGGAACCTCCCGCACTCATTTGCGATCTCACAAATGAATGCGTCAGTGCAGTTCGGCGACCGGGGGGCATTTTGTACCTACACTGCTTTACTAGTTCCGGTTCACAAGTTCCGCCTTGGTGAAAACTCTCGTGAAACTGGAGCAAGCTCGTCTAGCCACCATGGTAAAACCCGTCAACTCTTGTCTCGCTCGGGAAAGAGCTTTCTTGATGGCTCTGGAGTGCAAAATGCTCCCCCCCCCGTCGCCGAACTGAGCCCTAGGAGGTAGGATACCTTCCTCGGAATGACGTGAAGATGCA